ACCACAAGTGGTTGGCTGGAGCAGTGCTCCTCACGTTTAATATGCAAAATCTCATTGGCAGGTCTGACATGGGAACATCTGCACTTCCAACAGGCTCCCGGGTGAGGCCAATGCTGCTGGTTCATGGGCCACCTTTGGGTGGCACGCTACCTGGAGTGACTGCCTCCCTCAAATTCATTTAGGCTGTTTAGTGCTAGCCTACAGTCCATCCTCCCATTTCCCTACTTTCCCAGGTCTAACTGTATACTTTCACACCAGCTAGTTCCTATACATGAAAAATACTTTTCCTCTAAGTTCTCTCATTAGCTTGGCAACATTTTCATGATTCTACCTCTAATCTCTTGCAAATAATGTTTCCTTACTGAGTAAAGCTCAAGTTATGATAATTCTTCAACTAATGCCTTTTCCAATTTGCATCTGTGAATACCAACCTGGTAGTAGTGTAAAAATGTATTTAATTATTCATAAGCCTGACAAGATCTGCTGTGTTCAATTGATTTGTTGTGTATGTAATTCACTGCCCGAGTTTCAACCTGGATGTTGGTCTACATCGAACACTTCAGTTTTAGGCTCTATGCTGTTAAAAAGGATCCTTTAAAGTTGCTGATCTGCCACTCAGTAATTCGTTGATGCTCAGTTTTCATTATGCCAATGGTGTTTCAGTCCTGTGGACTTTGCAATCACTGCCGGCAGATATACCGAACCCTATTATGGCATAAAACTTCCATTTCATTTAAGGCTTTGGGTTAATGCCTTCATGGTGGGATGTCTATGAAATTGAGTCCCAGGGCTTGAGGGTTCGCCTTGAGGATGCTCCTGAACTGGTTTTGTGACTTTTCTCAAGTCTTTAAGCCTTTCTAGGCCTCAGTTACCCAACTGGCCATTGTTTGGGTGTTTTGCCGTTTCTCTTCTTCAAGGTGTCAGCCAGGTTATGGCACCAGCTTCCTTGGTAATATCTGGGTAACATGACCCAGCCTTGTTTTACTGACCTGCAAAAGGTGATGATAATAGCTTCTATTTCCCGACAGTTATATGGTGGTGGTGGAAGATCATCAAAGGACATCGTGACTAACAATAAGATATCAAAGTTAGCAATCACCACAATAGGGATCTGTTTGGAAATAAGACCTAGGCAGAATGGCTTACCATAAGCGGAAATTTGCTTCTTAAATCCATTAAAATATATGGAGCCAATATGACCCCACACAACTCGAGTCAGCAGTTGTCTTTAATTTCCACCCAGGTCCTTGGACTATTAGCAATCAATGGTCCTCAAATCTTGGGTGTATAACATGAAATAGTTAACGGAGAATTGGAAGTGTGATATTTTCCCTTGGTTAGATAAAAACTACCTTCCATGATAGTAATTTCTTTCCTAACTCAATTGTCATTAAATGTATTGGCTTAAGAATGACCACGTGTTTTCACTTGTGCAACTTTCCTGTTGAAAACATCGAGTTGCTACCTTGTATGTGGCATCGTTTCACACGTTTGAAAACGGGCTCCTACACTTCCCGTGAACATCTCTGCGAAGTGGTGCAGGTTTGCTCTTTGAGCCAGAAGCCACGACCTTCTGTGCAGGAAATGTGTCGAAGCCAGCACAGCACCAGCCTCAGCACCTAGAGAGACTGATGCTCCGGAGAGGGGTGTGCTTTTCCTTGAGATGCGTGCGTTTGGTTCTCCTCCTTTTCGGATTCTCATTGCTCCTGAGGCAGCCCCTACTCCTCGCCCAGAACCCAGACTCGTCCTTTGTACCCGCTCGTATCACCCGCGGCCTGAGCGCGTCGCCCCGGCCTCCGCCCAGACCCAGACCCCCTTCCCCGCCCGGCGCCCGGCCCGCCGGTGCCATCTGGCCGCAGCCCCGGGAAAACGTAAACGTTGGCTTTAGTCACCCCTACCCCTCCGCGTTCCATGCTGGACACAACATACAGACCCAGGGTCACTGGGGGACGCGGGGCAGGAAAGAAAAAGTGAAGACAGAAAAGGCCCCTCGGCGGCGTGGGTGCCCGGGACCGGGGCGCACCCCCCT